AACTGCATTTTCGTATTTTATCTTAAAAGATACGGTTCGTATATGCTTCATTGATGATGGAACCTATATGGTCTTACATCATGAGAGTGTTACTCTAATAGCTATGATGTATGAGCCCAGCTTTGGCATAGAGAATTCTATTATTGTAAGACTATATGAGAAAAGCATTTATATTATTTGAATCTAACTATTCATTATCAATGATCTCTAGTACAGGGATGAGTTGCAAGAAAACACTCACTTGATTTGTTTTAAGCGCGTTACCCAAATGTTGTGCCCCTGTGTCTCCAATTTGATNGTAGAGTATGTTTAGTGTCTACATTAATGCGAAGCTGGTAGTAAAAGTATAAGAGTCAAGTAGCCTAAATTGATAATGCTACACTCTCGAGGAATGATTAAGATAACCCCCGTGTTTATAACTATCTTTTAGAGTATCAGGTTCAGACTATGCTAATACTTCACACAGGTACAATTAGAATAGGATTAAAAAATGATAGTGCATGCCGTTTTGAGTAGAGATCTGAAAGCGTTGCAATTTGAGACAGTTCTATTCGAAAGAATACTAGCTATCTGTTTAGCTTACCTTATTAGCTTTCAACGCATCAGCCAAATACTGTGCCCCACTATCTCCAATTTGATTAGTTTGAAGTTGTAATAAAGTCAAGCTCTATATTGCAAAGAAAAACAATTTCCTTTGATTCTATGGTAGCTAATATATGCTATTCCCCCTCATGATTATCACAAATAGAATTTTTTTCTAGGAAAAGTTCTCGACACTATAAGTAGAGTTATACGATGAGCTTCATTGTTGGAAACTTCTACCCCATTCTACATTATAATTATTTCTCTTTGGAGAAAATACTAAGCTAATATTATTTTTATTTAAGGTCGATCTGGAATTAATATTCAATAAAATCGTGACATCAAGATCACTCTTAGTCTCTGCTATTACACAATGTAATGAAATTCTTGCTACTTCATAACAGTACTTAACGGACCTTTCTACTAGAGTAAATAAATCAGCGGAGCAACTTACTTTATTAGTTTTCAGTGCTTCACCCAAGTATTGTGCCCCGCTGTCTCCGATCTGATTCGTATACAAGTCCAATCGTGTTAATGTCTATAGAAGGAAAGAGATACTGATTAACTAAGAATCTCGTTCTTTTATTATGCTTGATAAAATATGTGAACTAACTCCCTCTGCTATTTGATCGAATTTGTCTAACAACCTTCTTCGCTCATGCAATCGAATAGAAAAAAATCTGCAGAATATTCTAGACTGTTTCACTACAAAACAAATGCTTACTTGATTTGTTTTAAGAGCAGCGCCCAAATACTCTACTCCAACATCTCCGATTTTATTCCTGTTTAAGTATAACTCTTTCATTGTCTGCGATAGAAACAAGAGTATAATAGCAGGAGTAAATCGCTACTACTTTATACGAGGTAGATCTGTTGGTAGGTTTGTAATAAAAGTTGAATGCTCAAGAAAATTCTCAAAATTCTAGGTATGAATCGCACGAGCGTCATGTAACCAGATTTTCACAGAAAAAGAATAGCAGTAAACTCACTGTGTTAACTTTGAGGGCACCAGCCAAAAATTGAGCTCCAACATCTCCAATTTGATTCGCATGCAGATAAAGCGTAGTTACCACCTAGTATCAGAAAAGAATGAAGGGTGTGAGTAGAGTCTCATCCTCGAGTCTTAGAATTATTCTACTCTTTTCACTGTACATAAAGTTATTATCTAGCAGACTTCTTACCTTATTCACTTGTAGTAATTCGTTTGCCACGAGTTTCATATCTTGATCATTTAGATTTTGACTTTGGAACTGAACAGTTGCGGCATTGATATTGTTCTTAATCAGCTGCGTAAGTTGAGGGTTCGTGTGCGGAATCTCATTAATCTTTCGGATTTGTGGTTCCATTTTCTACAATAAAAAGAAAAGTTCTTACAATAACACTTATAGAATTGCACGATGTGCACTGAAATTGTTCCGAGAAAGTTTTACTATCTCCTAAGCACACTCTTACTGTGCGTAATCGCTAGAAAAAAATAGTGACTCCTTGAGATAAAATATAAGTTAGGATTAGTTGGACATATAACTTACTTCATTTGTTTTTAGTTTATCTGCAATGAATCCAGCTTCTTGGTCTTTAACTTTATTTCCATACATAGTCAGTATGTTCAGTGTCTAGAATGAAGTATTTTGAAGGGTTACAAAGAAATAATGTCAGACATGCATCATTAGTGAAATCTAGCTCACTTTGTTCGTCCGTAGTGCGTCCGCAAAATGTTCTAATCCATCAGTTCCAACTTGGTTACCATATAGTTCTAGATCCGTGAGTGTCTGTCAGAGATGAAATCATAGAATCATAGAATCCTCTCCACATTTGCCTTGATAGCGATAGAAAAAGAAGATTGGTACAATGAATATCTTACAGTATTCATTCGAAGTGCATCAGCTAGATGTTGTGCTCCAATGTCACTGATTTGATTCGTAAACAGGCGCAGCTTAGTGAGTGACTAAAGAAAAAGGAAGAATGACTCACATAGATACCAGTGAGTGAAAGTAATAATCATTTACTCTGTTGATTTCTAATTCCTTGGCCACAATTTCCATATCCCGATCTTTCAACTCTGAACTTGACAAATTCAGCGTCGATTTGTCAACAGTGTTAGCAATAAGCTGCCGTAATTTTTCATTATCGTATTTCAGAGCTTCCAAAGTGATGTTTCGAATTTGAGTTTCCATGTCCTTCAATGCCTTAAGACCTGGTAAACCCTTTTTAGCCCTAGTCAGTGGTTTCAGCTCCAATAACTTCGTATCTGTCGCTTTTATGTAATCTTCAAATGGTTTCTTGGCATCCAATAATTTTTTCGGGTTCTTATCATGACATACCACTACGAATTTCAATATTTGCTCAATCAGATTCTGTTGTTCACCCTGAAGTTTGCGTTTGTAATCTTCGACTTTTTTTTTCTCATCTTTTTCAGTATTTCGAACACTTTCCAGTAAAACCCTTTCTCGTTCATCGATTAGTTGACGTAGAGATCCTATGGCCGTAGTTACTTCCGATTGATTAACTCGACTTTCTTCTTCAATCTCAGTGAGCATTTTATCCACTCGATCCGATCGATAGTTAACACACGATTGAACTCCTTGCAAACCATTTTCTGTCTGAAAATATACGAAATATGAATGTCATCGCTTCATTTCAGTACTGACCTTTTCTCCCAGAGACTTGACATACTCAGTCACCAATACAAACTTATGATCTTTGTGTTTGAATTGCTGACAATTACCACACATTTCTTTAGAACAAAGTTCACACCAGTATTTCAGAGTTTGATCTTCATCATTATGCTCGCCACATCTAGGTACTTCAAGTGGTTTATCTTTCACCGATAGTTTCTTATGATGTTGATATTGACCGACTTCATGGATACTATCCCAACATTTAGTGCAAAAGCAATGCTTGCAATCACTATCACACCAATGTTCAGCTTCATTAGTTCCACATCGATCACACAGAGGTATGTTCGAATTTGGATTTTCTACACGGATATCATCAACATGTTCTCTCGAAATGCTTTAAAGACTATTAAAAATTCGACTCACCAAAAAGCTGTAAAAGATCACGCACATTTTCGTTCAGAGGCAAGTCGCCAATATTGTTTCCTTCGACTTTTACTCCATCGCGTTTTGGACACTCCAATACGCCATGATTATCCGTAACCATTTGTTGAATGCATTGAAAACAGAAAGTATGCGAGCATGGAAGCATGCGCGGTTGATCAAAATGTTTCAAACATATTGGACATGTAATAACATTTTCCACCAAAGCGGTCAAATTTGATGTCATGTTAACGAATTGAAGACTATAGTAATAAGTAATTTCAAATCTAAAATCGATTGATTATAAATAGTGAGGATAGCAGAAATCTGAGAAGTATCAGAAATTATTATATATGTAATTACGTCTGAGCCTACCTCAAAAATTTCAAAACTACTTATCAATCTTTTTTTAAGGGAAAACGTTGTATTCGATGACTCGAATGATCAGCAACATAAAGATAATCATGTTGATCAATAGATAAACCCCATGGGTAGTACAACTGGTTGATATCGTCTTTCTCACCGTCTCCAGTAGCAAAGACTACACCCTCTTTCGCTTCTTTAGGCCAACAAACAAGTTGATGATTTCCATAGTCTGCCATATAGATATTTTCGGAACTGTCAACACACAGTCCTCGAGGAAATCCTGTAGCAACGACTATTCCTTCAGATGCATTTTTAGTCCATTTCATTACACGATAATTCCATGTGTCTGAAACGTAGACACTGTAGTGTTCATCAAC